ATAAAAAATTATTTTTTAAATATATTCTATTTTTTTAATACCTATTTTAAAATTAATAATATTTTTTCTTAGTAAATAAAAAGAAAATTGGTTGAGAAAAAAGGATTAATTCAAATAAAAACTTATTTTTAAAATAATTTTGTTTTTGTAAGAGAAATGGAGACGCCATTTCTAAAATAGAAGTTTTGGATCCACCGGTGGTAAAATTAGAAATTTCCCAGTCTCTCTCTTTCGCGCGCTCTCTCTCTCTCTCTCAATGTTCTGCCTAGACTCACAGGAGCAATACTCCTCCGATCATCTCCTCCATGAATCTGTGGCGGATCCTAACCATCAATCTCCCTCGCCGCCATGCGCCAACGGCCACCGATCCACAATTTCTCTGCGCACAGACCAAGGCGGATCGTTCTGCTTCCTTTGCTTCTCCAATCTCATCTCCGACCAACGCGTTCCCACCGTACACATCTCCTACGCGCTCCACCAGCTCTCAATTGCTCTCTCCGAACCTATCTTCCTCCGAACCCTACGCACCTCTCATATCCACTTTCTCGTTTCGCCTCTCGTCCACGCTCTCTCTTCGATTGATGATGCTCCAATCGCTATCCAGATCATGGATACCATCTCGGTTCTCTGTTCCGCTGTGGAATCTTCAATCGGTGAGGATTTTGTGGAGAGGATCTCCGATCAGCTCTCTTCTGGTGCTTTGGGTTGGAGCCGAAGACAGCTTCATATGGTATTGTTATCTTTCTAGGGTTTTATCGCTCTTCAATTGGGAATTCTCGTTGAGAATTTCATGAATCCATCTAACTGGGTATAGATCTGCAATTAGAAATTATCACACATTGCTTGATTTCTGGGTTTTGCAGCTTCACTGCTTCGGTGTTCTGGTGAGCTGTGAGAACATAGACGTAAATTCCCATATCAGAGATAAAGAAGCTCTTGTATGCCAACTCGTTGAAGGTCTTCAATTACCGAGGTAATATGCATAAGCCACTTGGAGACCATTGTTCTTACTATCTTGTATGGGCATGTTGTGATTTATCTCGTGTTTGTTATCCTCTTTTTTCTCATACTAGTGAAGAGATCCGTGGTGAAATCCTTTTTGCTTTGTACAAGTTTTCTGCTCTACAATTCACATAACAAAATGTTGATGGAATTGAGATTCTTTCTTCATTGTGTCCTAAGCTCTTATGCCTATCTTTGGAAGCTCTTGCAAAGACACAGAGAGATGATGTTCGCTTGAATTGTGTAGGTGCGTATAGCTTCTATCTATTTGCTTCACTCCTATTGGGTAGACATTCCACCTCTAAATCTTGGAGGTGGATATATGTTAATAGCTGAAAATTTGTTGTATTTCAGCTAACATAGATTTTTGAACTTTGTAGCCCTTTTGACCATCTTGGCCCAGCAAGGTCTTTTGGCAAATTCACATACAAATAATGTCAGCAGCATGAGCTTGGATGGAATGGATGATGACCCTATGCAGACAACTGAGACTGTAGTCTCCAGGCCTTCTTTAAATATCTTATTTGCCGAGGCCATCAAAGGTCCACTGCTTTCCACTGACAGCGAGGTGCAAATAAGAACCCTTGATCTTATCTTCCATTATTTATCCCAAGAGAGTACACCAAGCAGACAGATTCAAGTTCTCGTAGAAGAAAATGTTGCTGATTATATATTTGAGATACTGCGCTTATCAGGTAAAGGTGGTCTCTTTGGATAAGTGACTTATATACTGCTATTGGGAATTCCATTATACTAAAAGAACCTGAAATTATTAACAAACTAAGGGAAGTTTGAGATGTGAAGCTAAGAAATGAAGTTATCATACACATTTATGATGTCAAGTGCATAATTCATTGTTTCCTATACATTTTTAACAACTTGTTCAACTAGTCTATACATATTTTGCCAATTACAATTCCGTTTGACGGCTACCTTTTGCTTACTGTATTGTCCTCTGGAAGATCACATCTGTACGAGCATTAATAGATATGTGTTTTATGTGTCTGACTGATGTCCTTTCCATGAACAGAATGTAAAGATCAGGTCATCAACTCATGCCTCAGAGTCCTTGATCTATTTTCCCTAGCTGAGCATTCTTTTTGGAAGAGACTTGTTATTGGATTTCCTTCAGTCATCCAAGTGCTTCACTATGTAGGCGAAGTTCCTTGCCATCCTTTTCAAATTCAGACACTGAAGCTTATTTCAAGCTGTATTTCTGATTTCCCTGGGATTGCTTCTAGTTCTCAAGTTCAGGAAATTGCTCTGGTTCTAAAAAGAATGCTTGAAAGATATTATTCGCAGGAGATAGGATTATTTACAGATGCATTTGCGATTATCTGCTCAGTTTTTGTTTCCCTATTGAACATTCCATCTTTTGCTGAGACTCCAGATGTGTTAACATCATTGCAAGAATCCTTGAGACATGCCATTTTGGCCTCTCTTAGTCTCCCTGAGAAAGATTCAACCCAGATATTGCATGCAGTGTACTTACTCAATGAAGTATATGCATATTGTACTGCACCAACATCCATGAACAAGACCAGCTGTATTGAGTTAAGACACTCTGTTATAGACGTCTGTGCATCACATCTATTGCCATGGTTTCTCGCTGATGTCAACGAGGTCAGTGAGGAAGCAACTCTTGGCATAATGGAAACTTTCCAATCTATTCTGCTACAAAATTCAGATATTCAGGCCAAGGAGTTTGCAGAGGTGCTTGTTTCAGCAGATTGGTTCAGTTTTTCATTTGGATGCTTAGGAAACTTTCCTACGGCTAAGATAAAACAGAGGGTATATTTGATGCTCAGTTCCCTTGTTGATGTTCTTCTTGAACAGAAAGCAGGGTCATATATCAGAGATGCTATTCCTTGTCTTCCTACTGATCCACAAGATTTGCTGTTTTTGCTCGGGAAGGATAGTTCCAATAATCAAGAATTCGCTTTTTGCCAGTCCGCAGCTCTGCTGATTTTCCATACCAGTTGGATATACAATGACAGGTGACTTAGGCTTCTGATTCTGAATCACGTTTTTGATGGACGCACTAAAGATCTGTAATCAATTTCTCTTCCTTATATTATTTTTCATCTTTGCAGGCTTGCAGATGATAAGCTGGAGCAATACATCGTTTTAAACAAGACAAGTTTAATATGTGCCATCTCTGATTCTCCAGCTATGCTCCACCACCTATTGAATCTGTATGGTCTTTGCAGAAGTCTTCAAAACGAGAGATACCAATTATCCTATTGTCTAGAAGCTGAGAGAATACTCTTCCATCTACTAAACGAGTATGATTGGGACTTGGGTTCCTGTAATATACATCTAGAATCTCTGAAGTGGCTTTTTCAACAGGAAAGTATCAGCAAAAGCTTAACTTTCCAATCCAAAAGATTTTTCGGAGCAACTTAATTGGAAATGAAGTCCACAATGTATATGGAGATGGCAGACAGAGATCACTCACATATTAGTTTGCAAAGTTGGTATCAGAAGGAGACAACTATGCTGCAAATCTTTTGGTTAACTTGTTGACACAGCTCGCGGAGAAGGGACAGCAGGAGACTAATGTTATCTCAATTTTAAATCTGATGATCAAGATTATTTCTATATTCCCAACTGCCTTCAACCATTTAATCATGAATGGGCATTGGCAGTGCAATCCATAGACTTGTTTGTGTCTTTACTAAATCATCCTTGGGTACTTTTTTCACAACACTCCTTCTGTTAATATTCATATTTTAGCTTCTGTGCAACCTGGAGTGCTTACAAAGGATGAATCATTGGATGCTGTGATTATAAAGGTATGGTCGTTTAAGACCTATTCTCGACCAACAATATCATTATATCAAATACCTCACTGTATCCTCTAGTTAAACTATTTGAGATTGCGAGACACTGCGATAACACAGGACCATGAAGGTATGATGGTGATTGGCATTCTTTCTTTGGTTTTGTACCACTTGTCAGATGGAGAGCTTCAACAAGTATTGTGTTGAATTCGTACTGGGTATCTGCAATCAACACTGTGGTTGCTGTTGCTTGCTTAAAAGGGTCCAGCATTGACTCAGTATCTGGATGAAACTGACATTGGGAAGGCTTAGCATTCACTTTACCACTCTATTTTTTCTCATTAAGAAGGTAGCGTCTGAAATTGCTAACAATGTTAGATCCTATTTCTAACTGTTCTTTCAAATCCCTTTTTGATCTTAGCTTGCAGATTGTTCTATCTGGAGCAGTGGACTGGCAAACGTTTTTTGGCCCATCGAGCAAACTGGATACACTATCCGTAGGGTGCATCCGTTGGCATAATTTTAGCAGGTTGATGCATTTTGGAACGCCGCAAATCAAGCTCATGGCCTCTTGTTGTCTTTTGGAATTGTTCACTGGATTATCACAGCAGATTGACATTAAAAAAGAGCAACTACGGTGTTCTTCAAGTTACTTGAAATCAATGAAGGCTGTTTTAGGTGGTCTTGTATTCTGTGATGACATAAGAGTACCTACAAACTATACACTGTGAGATATCCCAACTTAACCGACTGGTGTGATACTTTATCTTTCTATGCTCTACATACCAAGAGAAGCTTTATAACTGTCTCCTCAAACATAACTTGGTCCAAATCGTGTAACAGGTACAAGAATACAAACATGAGAGGGAGTGCAATGCCTATCATAGGAAGACAAGGGAAGACAAAAATTTATCAAAGAGGTCTCTGCATTCTCCTTGTTTTGTAGTTGTTAAATTATCTGTGCTTGCAAGGCACTGCCAATACACTAGAACCATGAAGGTCTGATGGATAGTGATTGGAATACTTTCTTTGGCTCTGTACCACTAGAAAGATGGAGCACTTGTGGAAGTTTCGAGAAGTATTGTGTTAAATTCCTACTGCAGTCATTGTACTAAAAAACTGTTATTTTTTTTTTATTTTTTTTTTAGCTACGCCGCAACATTGATCCTACTAAAAAAAATTATTTTGACCTAAAGAAATTGAATTACCAAGAGCAGACAAAATAGAGGAACGATTTGACCACATATTGGAATATCCATGAAAGAAAACGCAACGTAATGGGCAACTATTGTCGTCCATCTGTTAAAACCACACAACATCAACTTTGGAAAAGCTAGCCGTGTTACAAAAGATACCTAATTACTTAAGTTCAGACAGAGAAAGAGAGAGATTTCTGTTATGCCCTATATGATTTGCATACACAGAGAGAGAGAGAGAGAGAGAGAGAGAGAGGGAGTGAGAGAGATCCTGATGAGTCGTGTCTCTGAGCTGGGACTCTCCTAAGCTTCCTGGTCCGACAGGAACGGGTGATCCAACAGTTGTGGAATGGTGGCGCGTTCTTCAGGGTCAAATTCGAAACAAATTCTCACAAAATCCCTCGCAGTATCAGGTAAGGTGGGAGGAATAGTAGGTGCCACATTTCGTGCAAGAACACTCTCAATTCTTAAAATGTTGTAGTTGGACCATATGGGTTTGTTTGTGAACATCTCTAGAACTAGACAACCGACAGCCCATATATCATGCGCTTCCACGAGAATTCCCCTCAACATCGACTCCGGTGACATGATCTCTGAACACCCTAAGAACGGTTTCTGAATGCTCCACCAGCTGTTGTCTTCCCCAATTCTTTTCGCCACTCCAAAATCTGATACTTTTGCTTCCATTAATTCCCCCTCCAAAGGAAAAAGGAGGACATTGCAAGAATGCAAGTGTCCATGTATATAACCTAGGTGGTGAAGCGATTTAAGCCCTATGAGAATCATTCTTGTGAACCTTTTCACAGTTGCTATGGGCAATCCCTTATGTTTTTTAATCTCATCATCAAGAGTCCCAGCTGCTGCATACTCCATGAAGAATCCATACACCTTATCATTTTCACCAAATGACGTAATCTCATGGATGGAGTCTCCCATACACTGCACAATTCCAGGTACACCTCTCATACTAGATATTACTTCAAATTCTCTTCTAGCAGCTAGATCTGATTTCCCACAACTTTTCCTCACATACTTCACAACATTTTCATCTGGTGTGACAAACTCCATAAGCTCCGCTGTTGTGCATTTTGAGGCATCATAAGTAAAACGATGCACCACTCTCCCATCATTGCTCTCAAAAACTAGTTTGTTCTCAGAAACCTCTTCTTCTCCGAGTTTTGCTCTTGCTAAAGCTTTTTGTTTCAGCTCTTTCAAAAAATCTGCATAGGTGAGAGGAGTGAGCAAACCAAGCATATCGAGAACATCCCTGACTGCTTTCTCAACCTCCGACAGAGACACCACCATCGACATCAGGTGCTTCTTTTGCGATGTCTTGAGCTTGATGATTGAAGTGCTGATGAATCCCATTGCATCTTGAAAAGACCCTGAGAGTAGTTTGGCAGTGTTCAAGTCGTCTGACATTTGAGTTTCAAAGTGACTTTTCACATTCTTTATGATGGCTTTGGCTTTTGCAGTCTGATCTGTCTCTGTACCATCTCTGGAGATTGCTTCTTGATGTGGGGAGAGTGCTTCGGTTAGACTTTGTAAAGTCTGAATAAACAAAGAGTAAATGGTAAGAAACATTGCCACTATTACAACTCAAGAGATGCTAGCTAGGAAAAAATAAATAAAGGATGGGTACTAGACCTGATAAATAGATAATAGAGTATCCGACGATCTCTCTAGCTGCAATACCGAAAAGCTCAGAGGAGACCGGTAGTGTGCACTGATCAAGAAGTGTCTCAGAACCAGCGGATGGTACTTCGCCATGATCTACACACATTCAACAATGCTGCATTAGCTATAAGAAACACACAAAAAAAAAACCGGAAGAAGGGTCAGCTTAAGACAATGGAACAAGTAAGAAACATACATCTCTAATGGTAACAACGTTGCCAAGTGATGATCCCATCTTCACGTTGTCTTTGGTGAGAATCCCATTATGCAACCAGTAAGTCACACCACTATCATCACAAGCAGCACATGTCTGGGCGATCTCATTCTCATGGTGAGGGAATTTCAGATCTGAGCCACCACCATGGATGTCAAACCTCGGAGACAGATAAAGGGAGCTCATTGCGCTGCACTCGA